AGGAGGAATGATGTGCTGACTGATAGTGAAGATGGCAGTAATCACGCCGAGTCAGAAGATAAAAATTTAAACAAGGTCACTAGAAATCAAGATAATTTTGCTGTAAGAAATGCTGTCATTCATACTGCATTTATTAATTAAATAAAATGTTTATTTTAAAATTATTTACGGTTCAATAAAACATAATATAAGAATTATGAGTGTTTTAATTATTGTATATGTATTTTTAATTTAACAAAAAAAGTGTTGACAATTCAAATAGTCACAGAAATAAAATTAACTTAATTGTGTCAACTTTTTCTTATTAAACTCTGGTAATAAATCTATGAAACAAACTAAATATAACACCAGTAACTTAATGAATATGATATTTATGATACTATAATGAACATGTATTTTTATTACAGAATTTTTCTACAATAAATACATACTTATAAGAAAGTGTTTATATCCACTTTTAACAGATAACTTTGTGAAAAATAGGCAAAATGTTACGGGATCTATTAGTATTTCATTTATTTATAATATTCTCAAGCGATATATTGTCATTTCAAGGAAGTCATGAAAATAAGACCATATCAGCAAGTAGATACATAATCCTTTCATTTTACGGTATTTGAAAAACAAAGTATGTACATATATTTCAGTTTCATTGTTCAGTTTTTTGTGTTTATTATTATTCTTGAGTAAAGTGTTTGATTTTAAGACGGCAAAACGGAATTTGTGTTGTAAAAATATTAGATGAAATAAGCATTCCTTAACTTTTCCAGAGGACACAGCAAGGTTTGTAAATTATTATTTCCTCTTAAATATTGCTTGGGTACCAGTATATGATGTCATTTATATGATACTTCTACAATAATAAGATAACCAATTTTTATTTTAATAACTAATTTACAATAATATAAAATTAACCAAACGGTATTAAATTTCTAAATTCTCGAACTCAACCCCATATTGATGTTTCAGTTGTAGAATCTTTTCTTTAACTGCCAACTCTTTTGTGTCTGTTTCTCTTTTCTCTGTTTCCGTTTCTGTTTTTCTAATTTTAAAACGTCTCTACTTAACTCTTCCTTTTCTTTTCTAATTTTAAGAATACTTAATTTTATTTTTTCCTTCTCTGAATCTTCTTCACACTTATTATTCTTTTTGTGATGTGGGACTTAAAGGCAAACTAAATGCACGACCAAATACTTACCATGTCGAGATAGCATTATGAGGTTTTTTCCTGGTTTTTCCCTCATAATTTACTATGGAATCACTAACAGGAGAATTTTACTGTCATCATGGCATGTGTTTGTCTTTTTAAAGATGAATTACATGCTATGATTTTTTTCTGACAGATATTCTCAAGTTAATGTTAATTTCATGTAATCGAATGAACTATCTTATAAGTAAAGTCGTTCCAAGAGCGCAACTCAACAATATTGGCAATATCATTTTAAAGTCGTCTACTTTAAAATGCATAATGTATGTCTGAATTGTCAATATAAATGAGTCAGATAAAATTAAATTATTAGAAGAATTTTTCACTAAGTAACAAAAAAACAAAATTTGTTTTTAGTGTTTGTATTTTGAGAACAATTTCTGAAGTGGAAATTGAAATGTTAATAAACATATTTTAACCTTTAATTGGGGCTTATTCCCAGTTAAATAGTAATTAATTTAAAATGCCACAAGAAAATAGCTTCAGAACAACATTAATTACATATGTTTTACCTTTCTGTTACTGCTTGGCATTCTGCAGGGGTGACAAGAAATTTAACATATCTTGGCAACAGATGTTCTACCATCGCATCAGTTACTTCTGTCAATACTTTACTAAAAGTGGACCTTTCCATGGTAAAAAAAATAAAATATAGTATATAATAAAATAAAAAGTAAATAAAATATAACATATTGGAATATATTCACTCAATTCTTAATATAAACAACATATCTTGGTTTCATGTGCTAAAGCATTTGATCTTTGCACTTGTCTTAGATGGGGCTGGAGACTTTCGAACCAAATGCAAAGACAATTCCCTCGATAACTTAAATATCTTTTGAAATACGGCTTCCACTGGATTTACCAAATCTCGCAAAAGTCTTCTCTGAATGTTTTCTTCATCCCTATCAATAAAATAATTTTGTTTACAAAACATAACCTAAATAAATAATATACTATAATTAAAAATATCTTTAACAAACCTTCTAATAGCATCATCTAATTCTTCTAATAACTCATCGTTTAGAATCCGGCCAAAATTCTGGACTAAATTGTTCATTTTATATTTTTATTAACTACACGTTATTCCCATCTACAAATAGTATGAGATTAAATCATCTCTTTAAATTGAACCTGTTATCAGAGAATATAATATATTATGTTAGCAAGATAACGTAAAACGTTACCACATAACGTTTTTTTTTTAGAAACGTTATCTGTGATACATCACATCAATTTTTAGAATATAACGTAAATGCAGGTTAACGTGCACGTTATTTAACATTTATTTTATTTATAAAACATTTTTGTTTTGATACATCCATCCAATCACAGGGCTGATTTTTAAGATTCAAATTACGTCACAGGAGTACAGTTCAGCTTAATGTTCATTGGTTAGGCGGAAGAGGCAACCGGAGTAAGTCTAGGAACCGTGGGATGGGCCCATGCAAAACACTATCCCCTCCCGTCCTATTCTACTTACACTACTATGGGGTATGTATTGACAAGGATCTACAGACCGAGAATTTGTCATCCAAATTCCACTGCTTCGCGCAATCGTACTTGTAAGTTCGTATAGTCGGCTGGAGTTACAATTTGCCAAATTTAAATGTAATCGTTTCTACTCATTCATATTAATATTATAATGTATAATATATTAAAGTTTTTAATATTGGTAATATTATTAAAGCTTTTAATACTATTTTTTAATATTAATATTAATATTAAGTAATTAAATATTGCGCCTTGCTTAAAAAAAGTACGAGATAAATAACTCGTTTTTTACATGAAAGTGCAATTTTCTTGCAAATGCCTTGAGAGGGGAAATTTCCAATATAACACCAACCAAAAGACAAAAATATTAACTTAGGTACATGCAATCATTATCACTGCTTAGCGTATTTTCATGGAAATCAACCGCTGTGCTGACTAGTATTTTTTTTTTAATTGTGATGAATAAATAAAGTATATATTAAATAAAGGGTATTTTAAATAAATTTGTAATATTTTATGCGAAAAGAAGAAAAGACTCAGTTCCGAGTCGTGAGCGTATTCGTTATATTTTCTTTAATTGTGTTAAGCTACTCGGATGTAAGTCGTTTATAATTATTCAAAAAAATGAATTTACAATATTTTTTATTAAATCAAATGAGAAATGTTATAGCAAATTAAGAACTAAGGAAAAAAAACAAATTTTCATTTCCTAAATAGCAAATTGTTTCTGAACAGTTAAGATTAACTTCCAAATAAAATTTGGATAATATTGTAAAGGCTTTTATATACTGAAATTAAATTAAAAAAGAACCTGAAAAAAGTGGAAAAATAATAAAAAATTCCCAAATTTAAATATATCTCGAAAACAAAATACGATCTGGAAAAAGAATACCGGAAATGTTTAATTTTTTTGAGTTCTTCGATTGTGTAGTACCTTCAATTTCAGTTTTTTTCAACAATACTCGAGTATTCCGATTAAGTACTCTCAGCCTTATAAAAATTTCCAAGAAATTAATATCGGATGAAGTTTCAACAAGCGAAATGAAAATCCTAATATTAAAACAGCATTATGACCAGGTACAATATCTGACTGTTATGCAAATTAGTAGGTAATTAGAATTAGAAAGTCAGTATGGGCAAAACCAGCTTATTCAAATTATAGGTACCTACCTTTAGTCTTGTATTGAAGGATTTTAATTTATTACCCTTAGCATACGTAAAGATATAAAAAACGAGTTTATCTCGTACTTTTTTTAAGTAAGGCGCAATATTTAATTACTTAATATTATTCTTAATATTAAAAAATAGTATTAAAAGCTTTAATAATATTACCAATATTAAAAACTTTAATATATTATACATTATAATATTAATATGAATGAATAGAAACGATTACATTTAAATTTGGCAAATTGTAACTCCAGCCGACTATACGAACTTACAAGTACGATTGCGCGAAGCAGTGGAATTTGGATGCCAAATTCTCGGTCTGTAGATCCTTGTTATGTATTGTGGCACGGAGTCCCGCTGCAGGATTCGTACCGCGAAAGAAACTAATAATGGAACAACGTTGCCATACGATGCATCGTTAAAATATAATACATATAAGTCCCTGGCTTTGTCTCGCTATGACGACATGCGCAAAGTCAATTAAAATTAGAACAGCAAGTGAGCATATCTTGTTATAGTGAATATGCAGTCGATGCAGTAGACGCATGCGATTCCTTGCGTCGGACGCATGTGACAATCGCATATAAGAAAGACTGCACCTTTAGGGGATTTACAAAAATCTTAATAATTAGAGGATTTACAGTAGGAATCGGGTGAATTACAGGATTCGTGGAAATATATAAATAAAATTCTATGCTTCACTGTCTCATTTCTCCAAATTGTAATTTGTATTAATTTTATTAAGTGAATAATACATAATAATATAATAAAGAGAATATTTAAAGCCATAAATAAGTACGTTATTCCGTTTTTGTTAAATTTATTCATCATACAACATAATTCATTTTATCATAGTTATTGTACCGTTTAAAAATATGTTTTTGAGATAGAGATAAAAAACAACAATTATTTTCTTATATCCATGTTATTATATCAGGCAATTATCAATACATCACATCATTTTATTCAGAATTAGGCAATCATATATACTTTCATTTCAATCTAATTTTCACCTGGCAACCCTGCATGAACAATGTTTGTTTGTATATTTGGAGATTGGCAATGGGCAATAGTGGCACGTGTTGGTTCATAGATAAATAATATAATATAAATACAGATGGTGTTGGTTGGTGTTGTGTTAAGTGTTAACCAAGTTCACAGCTTTGTATCAAATAATATAGACGCTTAATTGTATGCAAAACAATATAATAATAATAAATTTTATACAATTTATAATGGGGAAGGTAAGTCGGCATAACTGCATCTTTTTTCTAAGTTTATTAAATCAATATTTTTAGCCTCACGTTCGTTACTTTTCCACTGCTGGATCAAATGATTGGAAAGTAAAAACGGGAGCAAATCAAAATAGTAATGGGAGTAAACAATTTCAGGGAAAAGTTAAACCACCAAAAGAATTAATAGAAAAGTATACCAGAGGCGAGGAAGTTAATGTTAAAGGTGTTAAAACATCTACGCACCAAAAAATAATTCAAAGAAAAGAGAAAAACATTAAATTCGCAATAGAGGAATCAGCTAAAACAGAAGTTTTATTGACGGAAGATTCAGGGTGAGCAGAATTTGTAAAAATAATAAGTATGTATTGATGCTAAATGTACCATAATTGTATTTGTATGATAATAACTTCAAGTACTATAAAATTTCAAAGTACATTATATATTCTGTGTATTGTACTATAACTTCTACTGACATTTTAAAACACATAACATTTGAATGTGTTAATCTGGGAAACAACTTCTAGGGCCATCCAATATTTAATAGTTGAAATCAGTTAGTAGTTTCTAAATCTAGATATTTCACATAGTACAATTAATTAATGTTTTATGGATAAAGTTACATTTAATTCCCCATGAGGAAATTATAAATGAGGAAAAAATATTTTTTTGTTTACACTTTTGTAACATTACACAAATGCTCTTGATATTTTTGAATTTACAAATTTAGCGAAATTTTCTTTAAATTTATTATGTATACCACACTCTAATCTCCAGTGTGAGAGAATATTTAGTAAAATTAACTTAACACAAAATAAAGAAGTAGATTAATTACCATTACTATTAATGGTAGCTTACTTTCATCTTAATGTATAAAAGAAAAAAAGGGGAATATGCATAAACGGGCACTCTAACCTAACCAAATATATTTTCCTCAAGGCACCCCGTCACAGTGTTGCCGTATTTATTTTAGTAAAATATGTATATGAATGTTACAAATATAAAGTTACTTTTACGAAATAATAATTTGTGTTATGAGAAGCTACTAATTTTAAATAAGTATAAAACTTGCCGTATTTTTTTTTGTAAAATGTATATGAAGGTTTAAAATATAAGTTACTTTTACGAAATTATAATTTGTATTATGAGAAGCTACAAGTTTTAAATAAGTATAAAACAAATATTTTCTGTTACTTTAAATGCAGTTAAATATTGTAAATTAGCACTTTCCAAATCTTATCTATTAGGACCTTATTATTAGGTGCGAATGGTCAACCCGCTACAATGACACTTGTGAATAATAAATTTCAATGCATTTCTATTATATACGGTAATTTAATTAATACTATTAATTTTTTATATCATTTTAATCAATTTTATTGTATATGCATTTGATTATTATCTTTAATTTAACTAAAATCTATGAATTTTTATATAATTTCAATGCATTTCTATTATATACGGTAATTTAATTAATACTATTAATTTTTTATATCACTTTAATCAATTTTATTGTATATACATTTAATTATTATCTTTAATTTAAGTAATTAAAATCTACGATTTTTTATATAATTTCAATTCATTTGTATATTAGTCGAAAGAAAATGTAAAAAAGTATTTTTGAAGTGTGTATATTTTAGGCAATTCCTAGCTGAGCGCTTTCGGCTTTACAAAGCCATCATCAGAGCTATGCTACAATAAAATGTTCTTATAAGTACTAATTGGTAAAGATTATAATTTTTAACTTACGTCAATTTTTTAAATACCACTACAAAGGAGAGATCTCATTTCCTTATATTTCAGAATTATGATTTTTTTAGTTGTTGAAATTCTTAAAACATATAAAAAACATATAAAAAGCCGACACTGGACTTCACAAACACGTTAAAAAAATTGAAAAAATTTTTTGTCATGGTACGGGTGTAAGAACCCGACCATTGATTGATGTGAGGAGGTAGACAGAATAGAACTAATGAAATCAAATGTCGGTCCTTTTAAACGATTTTTCAAAAGTGACAGTTGACAAATGTCATATATAGGAAATAGAGATTGTTTTTTAAATTCTTACAAAATTATTTAATAGTTTGGAATTACTAATAGTCATCAAAGACTTTCTAAAAATTAAGTTTTTAAATTAAATTTTATGTGTTCATCACATCATACAGAATGACATTAGTTTGTAAATTCACTCAAGTCATTGCTCAAGGTCAATGTATGTTCAATCTGACAGCCATCCTTAAGAAACAAGGGCTCAAATTGTTCAACAATAATATAAAGAAGAAACATGGTATTAATGTTACGTTATCTGATACTTAAGTGTATTGAGAATTGTCTCTTGATGGAAATTTGCATAAAAAATTTTTTTAAGAATGTATTTTCATGTTTCAATTAAGAAAAACTGTCAAATGAATTACAAAATGTTGTAAATTTCTAATAAAGTTTAAAATTTGTTTAAAAATATAAAAGTATGAAAAAATATATTTTAAAATATTTAAAAATAAAAATATTTAAAAGGACTGACATTTGATTTCATTAGTACTATTCTGTCTACCTCCTCACATCAATCAATGGTCGGGTTCTTACACCCGTACCATGACAAAAAATTTTTTTCAATTTTTTTAACGTGTTTGTGAAGTCCAGTGTCGGCTTTTTATATGTTTTTTATATGTTTTAAGAATTTCAACAACTAAAAAAATCATAATTCTGAAATATAAGGAAATGAGATCTCTCCTTTGTAGTGGTATTTAAAAAAATTGACGTAAGTTAAAAAATTATAATCTTTACCAATTAGTACTTATAAGAACATTTTATTGTAGCATAGCTCTGATGATGGCTTTGTAAAGCCGAAAGCGCTCAGCTAGGAATTGCCTAAAATATACACACTTCAAAAATACTTTTTTACATTTTCTTTCGACTTGTCATAAGTGTGTACAAAAAATATCAGTCTTTTGATTTGTATATTATGCGAGAGTATGAAAAAACTGGAAACATAGAAATTTAGAGTGCCTGTTTATGCATATTGCCCGAAAAAAATAATATATGTATATTGTTTGAGCCTTCACAGCAAATGTATCTGGAATGTACTTAATCAATGTATGCACACATACAAAAAAGTCTAAAGATTATAACATATCAGATGGGAATTATGGTACTGTGCTTGATCTTAATTTCGGATAATAGTTATATAATATATTTTATTATGTTTTAAAAATAGCTTGTTTTAATATTGTTAAAATTATATGTATTCAGAGTTTTGAGTTTAATAATTTTTTTTAATTTTTAAGTTTCTTTTATCTATATGTATATATATCAGATATTTACATATCTGATATAATATGTAAATGGTTCTACCATTGAAATAAATAAATAATCTACATACTCGCTTGTACTATTACGCCCAATGTGAAAGAATATTTAGTAAAGTTAACATAATTAAAACAAAACAAGGAAATTGATAAATTATCAATACAGTAGCTTACTTTTGTCGCAGTGTATAAAAGAAAAAAAAATAGTATGCGCATAACATTTGAGTAGTGAAAGCAAATGTGTCTGTAGTGTAGTTATATAAACTTAATTTGATTTCAAAAAATTGCTTTTACTTTTTTAATATTGTTAAAATTTTATGTATTCACTGTTTTGTGATTAATAAATTTCTTATATCTTATACTATATTTTTTCCAATGTACTATAATAATCTCCCAGCTCGTACTATAATAGTGTTAAATAACTTTATTCAACACCAACTTGTTTACAATACTTAATACAATGACAACTATAAGCTTCCAAATTGTACTGTCATAAACTGTCAACAACATTTTTTTATATATATATTTTCTGACAATCCAAACTTTATTAGAAATTTCCATCCAGTTAGAATCTATGAAGAAGATATGAGCATATTAACCTGTGTATTTAAAATGGCGTAGGTGGGTGTGGCTAGAGATCATACCAATATGGTGGTGGGATCAGGGTCAGACTCAATAATATTAAAACTACTATACAAATATGATTCTATATTCAGAAGATTTAATCATAATCTAAAAAAGTGCAATACATTTTTAATAAACTACGATTTATTTATCATGCGGCAAACACTAAAAACACGATATATTATACACAAAGATAAATTAATACAGTCAAATAACAAGTTATATCTGGAAGAGATAATAATATAAATAATATTTATTCTCTGAAGTACAGGGCATTACTTTGTTTACATATTTGTTTACTAACCTGTGGAATGTTAGTAAACATTCTACTCTCTAAACAAAACTACATTGAGAACAAGAAACCATTATTATGCACTATCACAATTACAGTTTCTATAAAGGTATTATAAAACTAAAAATATTCGAAAAACAACAAATGTAAACAATCATACATGGTCTGTCAAAACAATCATACCAATATGGCTGAAGTGAGGTCATTTTAGTCACGAGATGCCCTCTCCATACATTCTAACTCAATGGAAATTTCAGAATTCTTCAATGACATCTCGAAAATTCTAGACTTCTTTATTACTTCTTCTTTTTCGTCAAGGGACTTTTCTATATGAAATAGATCTCACGAAACTTTCGAAATAATAGCTTTCCTTGGAGTTAGCAATATGTAATAAAGTAATGTTATTGTAGTTTTGCCTATTAACGATATTGGAAAAAGAGAGTATCCTTGACATGTGTTGCTGCTTTCTCGGAAGAGAAATTCAAAACTCACAATTTATTTGTGAATTTATGAGTTTGTTAACTACACAATTTGTTGCTCTCTTTTATACCTACTATGTCAATTCCGTTTAGACATAATAATTATTTTTTGTTCATTGAGAATCTAATCTGCATTTTTAAACCAATTTGCAAGTTTGTGAACTACACAATTTGTAAAATATTTATTGCTCTCTTTTATACCTATACCTCTCTTTTATGCCAATTCCGTTTAGACATAATAAGTATCTTTTTGTTCATTGAGAATCTAATCTGTATTTTTAAACCAATTGATTTATAGTATTTTGATAAAATCACTATGTTGCTTTAATAGTTTTTTAAACTTTAAACAGATCTCTGATCTGCCTATACTTTTGAGCAAGTAATCTTATAAAATCATGAAATTTGGTTTCTATCATGTATATCTTTATTGTTGTTGTTTTAGAACTGTGTTACTCCCTTTTTCTCTTCAGAAGTTTGAAATATTCTTGGTTTCATGACCAATAAAGGTGGATTGCCGATTCTAAAAATATATATTCACAATTAAAACTTTCATTTCAGCTATTTGGAAGCAGATAATGGTGAAACAACAACTCAGTTTACTCAAAAACACTTAGTTAAAGAAGTTGATATAGCTGCTGCTACAAAACACTTTGATTTAAAATTAAACTTTGGTCCATATAGAATAAAATATACCAAAAATGGTAGACATCTATTAATAGGAGGTAAAGGGGGCCATGTAGCTGCATTTGATTGGGTAACAAAAAAACTACATTGTGAAATGAATGTTATGGAAGCCATTCACGATATTTCTTGGTTGCATATAGAAACAATGTTTGCTGTTGCTCAGAAAAGTTGGGTGTATATTTATGACAATCAGGGGATTGAACTACATTGTGTGAAGAGATTAAATAAAGTATCAAGAATGGAATTTTTACCGTACCACTTTCTTCTGGCCAGTTGTGTAAGTAAATTAATACATATTGATTATTGTTGTTTATGTGAACCAACAATTCAGTTTTTGTTTTACTGTATTGATTGTAGATCCATATTTATTATTATTTATTTTAAGATATCCTGCAGAACTTACATATTATTTGTTTGTTTGCATATAAATATTGGAGTGTAATCATATTTTTTATTTCAGTGGGTTAAAGTGTGTTTAAAATGAAGTTATATTCTTCCAAGACCATCCATCTAATGCTAATGAGTAGCATTAGTAGAAAGTAAGCCACTTTACTCCACTTTTTGTACCCAGATCTAGGGAAAAACTGTTCCGGTCTTATGGAGAATAGGGCAAATTTCCCCAGCCCCGTATCTCAAATTTCCCCAGATTCCGACCGCAAACTCGGCAGTTTTTAATCAAAGTATTATTTATTAAATAAATAAAAAAGTCTTCCTTGTGTAGGACTCGAACTCGGGACTAGCACCACCGAAGCTAAGTATCCACGTCGCTAAGCCACAGAGCCGTTTAAAATCAAGTAACAACAATCTGTATAAAAAAAACAAAGTATTTATCAAAATTGTAACACCTGTGTCATGGTCAGAACGGGATATACGAAGCAACGTGTTGATATAACGTGTAAATACAAACCGCAGAGAATAACGCAAAAGCGAATAGTAATGTCAAGGTTGTCGATATGGGTATTGCAAACATATATTTTTATTTAAACTTGTGTGTTAAAGAAATGCCGCAAACTCAAAGTACGATAAAAAGAAACTATTTTTAACAAGGTGGTTTTTAGTTGTAAAGAATTATGTTGTGAATCGAGTATTTAAAATATGAAAAATTACGAATGTATTTACAAATTAGTAAAGATTACAGATATCACCGATGCAGAAAGCCGCAAAATATTATTTTTATTAAAATGCAAATAGTAGAAAAACACGTGAAATTGATAAAGTTGTAAGCAGGCTGCGATATCGCCAAAACCGCAAACTGTTATCTAGGTGTAGAACAACAGCGAAGACTTCATTTTCGTTTCATTTTAAATAATATTTTTCAAAGAAATGTGTGTTATAGATTATAGTGTAAAAAATCAGAAAAATGTGACAAAATGCAAAAATTTTGTGAAAAAATATGTAAATATACATTTATATGCCTGTAAGGACCTACCAAGAATAAGGATTAACAGAAGAAAACAGAGGTAAGTAATAAGAACTATTATTATTATTCAAACAATTCAAAAACGTAAGGAAGGTAAAAGCGCTAGCATGTATTATGTAAAAAATGTAGACTTAATAGACATGTACAAAATGGCGGTTGTACCGGCAAAATATTTCAAAACGTGGTAAAATAATTAAGAGATTAAAACAGTTTTACTTTTGCTTACAGAGTATACCAAAGGGATAAAATCAAAAAAAAGTTCTAAATTGTCAAAAACTAAGGCGTAAAGGGAGACAGGAATAGACGAAGTATACAGATACTAAGGTAAGATATTGTTATTTTGCATTAAGTATGCCTAATTTTTTAACAAATACCGTAAATGTGCCTGGTTTTTATCAAGTATGTAAATAAAATGTCTACGAAGGTTTTTTGTGCAAAATGCCCAATACGCAGATGTCCCAAATGTCTAATGAGCATGCGCAACAATGTCACTCTATTTGCTTAATAAAAAACGTTTTTAAATGTAAAAGAAAGAATACATGAGTACCTAGAAAAATATTACACAGTACAAGCATTGTACAAATTATGTAAACTTATAATTTTAGATGAGAAGCCGAACATGAAGCATCAGTGCCCTCTGTAATTAATATTTGGAAATCAACAACAACAATTGACAACGTTAGACGCTGAATAACTAGGGGTAAGCAAATGATTGTAAATTTTCTGCTTTAAAGAAAAGAATATAAAAATGTGTAAAATTTTATTGTTTTTATTTTTATTTATTTATAAGTATCAGAAGTCATAAGTTTGTGCAATATGCGGACAAAATAATAAATTTATCGTTTTCACCGGTTAGATAACAATTTCCTGTTGTTTGTTTGAGAATTGTCGATCTTCTAATAGTATTGTTTTTACATTAAGAGTAAAGAGAGATGATAAGACAAAAAATATATTGATTTTTAACAGATGTGTTTGTTATTTATTCAGAAAAAAAATACAATATTTCATTAATCAAAAGCATGTCTTATTTAAAAATTTTCACCTCTTTCCATGGCCCTACCCAAAGGGGACAATACTTCAGCATTAAATGACATACTCGTAGATATATCAGAGAATATTGAAGTATTGGAGGTGTTTTAGGCCTCGTTAAGATTCCCCGCCATATGTCTCAATATACAGAGCATAGAAAGACATAAGACAGGCCTACGTCGTAAGTATTTTTGTTACCATCCACGCTTTGTTTATTTAGAAATTACATATAAACAGTGTATGGCTCATTAAATATCTTTTAGTGATCTGTTGAGTATCTTTTGTATCAGGAGGCTGCACGAACACTAGATCTTAACTTAATAAGAACGGTTCATTAATTTGCCAGTGACTCATAACAGATATCTTTTGGTGATTTAACTGAGCATCTTTTAAGATTTTTTATTATGCAGAGGTTTGGTCAGACCTTAGTTCAATGGCTACTACTTTGGGGTAGTCTACCGCTGACTAAATGTACTGGCTCTTGGGAAGGTTATCAAGGATTAAAGCGAAAAGGATTTGTACACTTAAATATGTAGATATTCTTCGTAAACAAAGCGTGGGAAGGAAATGTAAATACAGACTATGCAAAAGTACAGTAGCTCTGAAATATTTTTTTAAAATGGTAAATAATGCAGAATTTTTTAACATTGAAAATAAGATAACATTCTGAAATTTTGAATATTGTCGATGTTTTTTAATTTGAATGATAATTTTCAAAGCACTTCATTGTACATAAAAAGTAATTAGCGAGGCATTTTTAAGATTTGAATGTCGAATTTCGTATCTTTAAGCTGTATGTAAGCATTGGAACTGGCAACATTTTCAATTTGTTCTAACATTTTTGCCATATTGACATCTGCACTAGTTGATGTCGAAATAGGATGATTGAAATTGTCATTTAACGCCACAATACGGATTCTGTCACCCTTTTTGTAACCAATTTGCTTTTTTATATCGTTAAGCAGATCTAATTTTTTTCAAGAGTCTTGATTAAGGCCACCACCTACATAGTTTTCACAGCATAGTTGAAAAGTGCACTGATGAGCATTAAATTTTTTAATTTCTCGTTGGTTTATAACATTTACCGACCACATTGTGATACGTGTGTACTCTATGAGTGTTCAACTGTGAATGAAGAGATTCCGCAGTGTGAGTTAAATATATCTAAGAGGCCTTGAAACCTAGAGGCAACGTATCCATACACTCATCATTATGTACAATTTTTCGCTTTTTGTAGTCCATCTTGAATGTCTTTGATACCCTTTTTTTCGTCACTATATCTTTAGTGTGGACATCGCGACATATCTGGTCATATGTGAGCTTAATTTCTTTGGTTGGATCGCGTATGATGTCATTCATGGCTGAGGCATTGAGTACTAGGCTGTTTTCGTGATTTAAGGTAAAGCCTTTAATTTTTGTTACTTCTTTGTCCTTGGCTGTTTTGTAGTAATAACTTTTTGGACCAGTTGCCTGCCATTCTACAATATAATCATCTGATCCAATCTCATCGCTCCAATCGCCTAACATTTCACCTGTTTCGACAGTGTTTAGGCCATCATCAATATAAACAACGGAGTCTGTGTCGAAATAAGCTACAGCCTCTCTTAGCCTATCAAGCATATCGTACAGTCTTAGACGAGCGTTACTTGTCGTAAATAAAGCCACAAAAATATTTGTAGATGTGGGGTCTTCCACAAACACATCCTTGTAATCATATGAGACTTGGGCTATATGGTCGTTAATAAAGATCACATTAGTCATGTTGATCTTATCATCCATCAAGAGCTCAAACCATCTTTTGAGGTCCACAACATACTCTGTCTGTTTCATATTCATTCTTTGTCCAAACTTGCCCCATAGACTATTCAAGCATAGTTTAGCGACTTCTCGTTTACCACGATTTGGAGATATTTTCTCTAAGTCTAAGTCTATGCCCATTTGTTCTTTTACAACCCGAGCGTATTCTTCGTTTGAGGCATATGTATGTGGACTAGTTTCTAATTTTATTTTCATAAAATCTTCTACATAGCCCTTAAATAAATCCGTAGAAGTCTGCTCAAAATTCCACACCTCGTACACTTCCAACATTTTATACCCCTTTTCTATGGCTTTATTGATCTCTAGAGTCGTCCACGTACCTTTTAATGCCCGTTCTGAGTCATCATGATCACAATTATCGCAGTCTTCCAAGGTGCATTGATTACACAACGGAAACATTAATTTGTCAGTTTTGACAGGTAGGACTGGGTGATATAAGTTGGTAGGTGGCAGTATTTGACAATGTACTAGGCCAAACCACGAGGGGTCGTATGATTCAGGCGCATGTATTTTAGCAGGGTGGCCAATGGGGTAGCGGTCATAATACTGTACCGTCGGGTAAAGCGATACAATATCTATATATCTAAGCTTTTTCCCAGTCACATTTAGCTTTATGGCGTTTGTTCGTCCTCCAAAGAATGCTTCACGAGGCTTTAAGGGTTCAACAATTTGAGGGCTTGGTGCATTTTTACATTCTTTTGATTTTATCCATTCACATTCCCACATTTCTACTAGTTTGTAACCAGCTTCTTTTATTTGTGCGGCTCTCCTCAGTGTTCTTTCGTACAAGTCGCTCATTGTTTCGTTATTAATGTGGTTAATTGTGTTGGGCGCAAAACACTCTGGGTGGCCATGCCAGAAACACCCGTGGTACTGGTACACGGTATTGGTACAGGCATCATAACCATCCACTTTTGCACCGCAGATCGTAATTTCGCCACCATTAAGAGCATGTTGTACGTCTGGAAACTGACTCAGCCATTTTAACGATGCCAGGCTATATGTTTCCT